GAGGCTCTAGAAGTCGATTTTGTCGACCACACAAAACCTCGATCGACAATCTACAAGTATTAATTAAACTTTCACGCGATCTACGTGAGATTAGAGACGAAACGGTTGCCTTCAATTCTTTAATTATCGACGTAATTGACTGTTTCCACCCCCACTTGTCGTCGTCTTGCCGTTGACACTTACAGACACTTTGCATGAAACAGATCCATCAAACTTTTCGAAGATGAATTTCCAAATTTAGATTGATTACAGTCGCAAATTAAATTAAACCTTCCATCGGATTTATTACCTCTTAAACTATTAATACTTTCTCATTTCTCATTTCATGTTCTCTTTACTCAACACGAACCAGTGCTAAATGTTGCACGAGGTGCAAGATAACTTGAAATAAATTAAACATTTCCTAAGAGATCATTATCGAGAAAATTTTTTGCTTTCGAGAGAAGAATAAAACGCGAGAATAAGTTTCAGAGTATAAGTTACGCTTTGAAAAGATTCTCTCTATTTCTTTCTTTTTTTTTTTCAACGAAGATTTTATTTTCGTGGCAAACTTCTGTACAAGAATCCACGAACGGACGTGGATCTTGAGGAAAAGAAAAAGAAAAGAAAAAGAAAGGAAAGAAAAAGAAATGAAGTAACAAAGAGTGGAAGAGTTTTGCCGATGTCCAGGTTGAAAGATCAGAAAGTCAATACCGGGGCTACAAATTTATACAAGCAGTTTGTGCATTGAGCTTTCGCAGCCGGACATGAAATATGCAAAACCATCGACCGATCACTTCCCGCTAGAAAGGCTACTTCCTAGTCGTAAGAAACTAAAACTTTCTATCAATAGAGCGGCGGCTATAAATATTTCGACAACGCTATTTGGCACGTTGAATTTTTCACCGCGACGATTCCACCTTGGCGAGGCTCGCCAACGCGTGCGAGAAAATATGACGCGTTACGGTTCTGGATGGAATTTTTAAAACTGAAGCAGAATAGCCAATAACACGATGCATTATTATAGTGGACATACAAGTCCAACTGAACCAACAACGACGAGAAGTTAACGATATTGCGACTCGATATATTGTAACTTTGTGAAAAAGAGAAAAGTCATACAGGCGCTCTGTTTGGCTGAATTCTAAAGCCAAACTGAGCTTGTTTCACTTTTTCAAAGATATTTTTATAAGTAAGTGTTCCACTTTCGAAAATTGCCAAAATCCAAATATTTCAATTGAAATATTGACGAAAATTTTTTTGAACGCGAATGAACTCACTATAATCTTAAAGGTTGAAATTTATTTTTAACAACGACTCGTTAAAACTTGCTGTACGATTTTTTCTTCACCATTTTATTGAAGTTCGAACATTGGGGATAGACAACGATTCTGTGAAATAGAATAAAAGTTAATATAGTGTCTATAGTGTACATACGGTACTGTAAGGAAAATTATATGTTGAGTATATACGTAACCTTCTTTAGAAAGAATTTCTCGATCAAGGAACAAAGTAACTTCGAAGGTGAAAACTTTATTACCACGATCACGCTCATTCTACTTATACTACTTATGTCTCAACTTCCTACGAACTCTCATTACAATAATTCCACGAACATTTATCTTGTAATATTTTCGTCGTGATTTATTGTAACATTGCTCCGATAAGCTTAAAAATAGAAAAAAAAATATCGCCAAAGTGAGAAAAGAGAGTAGAAATTCTCATCAGCAGTTTCATCGAAGCGTCGTTTACCTCGTTAGGAAGGATTTCAAACTTCGTTTTCCATACGTTTCTTGCTTATTTGCAAAAAGTTTCTTAATCAGCGGGCGGTGGTGCATGATCAAGACCTGCGGGGAAAAACGAGTCTCTAGCTGGCCGAACAGAAAAAGGATTATAATATTTCGCGTTTGCCTCGTAAATACCATGTGCTTACCCATACTACTAACTATTCTAAAACTAACTTCTAGCAGTAGTAACTGCAAAATTTTATTCTAAAGCTTTATAAATTTTCTTTCGAATTATTTTAAAATTTTTCTAATTATTCTAAAATTTCTTTGCAAAAATTTTCATCTGGCTTAATTGCGAATATAGAGTAATTTGTTGTGGACTGTTTACTCGGCTATCCAGTTATTAATCTCTACTTGAATTGTCAAACTCGACTTTTTCAAAAACCAAGAGTTTTACAAAAAAATTTCATTTCACGTTTCCTGCCTACTTTTTCGCGTTGAATCATTTCCCAAAGTAGAAATGTTGGGACACCCTATATTAACGGGGAAAAACCCACTGAGGATCTTCCACGCAGGAACAACGATACTTTTCGCAGTAATTAACGTGAGAATGATAAAAAACGAGAATTACGCGTCTGCCATTTCCGTATCACACCTCGTGTTCTGGTTTCTATCTTTTTGACCACCGTATTAATGTCGAAATAAGAACTTTCGTAATAAGTGTGCTTTCAACGAGGAATCGTTTCATGAAAAAAACATCCTATCTGCATGGCGTGACATTTGAGATTATTTTGATAAAAATTAAATGTTTCGTAGAAATTCTGTGAATTTACGTGATAAATAATCGATCTCTTTATCTTTCTGTTTCAGGTGAGTCAAAATCGATGCTTCCTTGTTTTTGGATAATTAGAAACTAGTAAGTCAAACTAGATATCTATTTATTTCTTTGGAAAGTAATTTAATGATATCACTTATACGAAATAAAGTAGGTTTCAATGCTAAATGATTAACCAACCGTCGGTTAGTAAGGAAATCATTGCTTTCATTTATCGAATGTAGAACAGTTAGAACATTTTGATTACTTATCATGCGTAGATAAGTTAGAAAACCGCAGTCAAAACGAGATATACTTCGTCTGTGACTGAACAGTTTTCGTCTGAACACCGACGAGCTATATGAATAGACATTGCACCTTACGGACTTTCAGATCCGTGACCTGAAATACCGACATACTCAAAGATCATTGGTTTTCTAGCGCACTCTACGTTTAGGCAACGATGAGTTGAGAAACTAGTGAATGAACCAGCAACACGATCTTTGAGACCCATTACATTTGTCAAACTTTTTCAATACTGAAATGTAAAGCTCGTCTGTGACTATGCCAAGTAAAATGCTACAAGCAAAATGTTTAATTGTGTTAAATTCAGACGATTAAACTTTAATTTTTATGCTCTAATTATTTTATAAGAATATCAACAAAAATATTAGAATTTAGTCACTTTCGGCAACGCTGTCCATATCTTTTGATTTTAATTTCTGTCGCGAATACTTGCCTGAGTCGATATGACAGGAAGTGACACGAAAATAGTAACCGGGTTTAGTGACCCCCCAAAAACCTGGGAGACGAAAAAGCATTGGATGTCCGGTCTATGCCAATTGGTCGACGATGGCGATGCAATGTCTATTTGTATACCTCGTCTGTGGTGTGAACAAGGGTTAACAATACCAACTGTTAATAATACCAAGCGGTTTTCTACATTACCAACAGCGAGTAACTGAAGCTTTATCGTTGACTGAAACCATAGTAATCTGTTAGAGTTCCATTGAGATATCGACTGTTTTCGTTATCACGAGTTTCATTTTCGTCCTGACTTCGCAGAGGGATAAACCCCGATATTGAAGTGATGACCTGATTCGAGTGAAAGCTCGGGAGGAGCTTCACATGACGTGAAAGGATCTTTGCTGACGTAATCCCACCCCACATGAGTTGCATGTTGACCAATCGGCTTGAAGAACTACCATTGTTCGTCTATGCACCGGTGTTTTAATATAACCCACCCCCGTCTGCTGCACTGTGCGCATCTGGTATCTATACTACTTCGGCTACCTTTTCATTATTTCGCAATCCTGTATCACGAGAATTGTAGTCTGTGATTAAAAACACAATGCACTTGTGTTCGTTGCGATCAAAATAACAATTCTAACAACATAGAATTACACTGTGAGTACATAAGAAGGATTGGTCAATAACGTCAGAATTCAGGTATTGTATAAAAATGTAATTTTATCAAAGTTTACAAAAATATAAAGAGCTTGACTCGTCACGAATTTTAAAAGAGAATTTACATGGATTCCGACAAAATGCCTTAATACTTTAATCCATCGATTCAGTGCCTTTTGATGATGATCGTAGTTCCTCCTAAAGAACCAGCTGCTCCCAATGCGCCTCCCAGAGAACCAATTGCTCCTCCTTGTAGGGAACCAGCTGCTCCAGGTACACCTCCTCCAAGTGCACCGGACGAAGTGTATCCGTAGCCAGCTCCGTAACCAGCCCCAAGATTAGCACTCAGCCTCTGAGAGCCAAGTCCGGCTCCAAGACTAGCACCCAATCCAGGACCAAGTCCAGCACTAAGCGTAGAACTCAATCTAGATGCTAAATTGGCTCCAGGCGAGATATTAATCGAGCCAAGACCAGCACCTAGGCCAGAGCCTAGACCGGATCCAGAGCTGAGAACATTAGGACCAAGACTGGAACTGTAGCTATTAGCCAGACCAGATCCTAGACCTGACAGAGTAGAACCCAATCCTCCACTGAGGCTGCCACTTAGGGCACTACTGAGACCACCCGTGAGTCCTGAACTAAGACCACTGGCGGCTGCGGAACCTCCAAGAGAGTTTCCAAGAGAGCCTCCTGAGCCTAGGAGATGTTCAAGTTGAGGTGCAGGGATGGGGATTGGTTGTGGGATAGGAAGTGAGAGTGGCAGCCTAGCTCCTTGAGGAAGGCCTAATGGCCTCTGCGCCAATTGACCTGATTGAAGTTGAGCTGACTGAAGTTGGGCTGATTGAATCTGACTTGGCTGAGGTACGCGAAATGGAAGTTCGCTAATGAGAGGCGCAGATTGTTTCACGTAGTAGGGAGTTTGCACAGGCCTGGATACCGGATAGGGATGAGGGACCACAACTGGTACTTGTTGAGCACCAATCGTAGCTCCGCTTAATCCTCCAGAAATTCCTCCAGCCAAGCTTCCTGAGAGAGTTCCACTCAGTCCACCACTGAGAGAAGCTTGGAGACCTGCTGCTGGTAATCCTCCACCGAGTCCTACCGAATGTCCACCGTAACTGGAGCTGGAACTCAGGCCCAAGCCTCCTGACGATCCTCCAAGTCCCCCTGGGCCAAGAAGCACGCCTCTCTTCGCCTTTTCACGTTTCCCTGGCTCCACTTCACCGGCAACGGCGGCGGCCACCAAAAGACAGAGCTGCGCGAATCGATTTCGAGGTTTGAATTATTGATTAAGAGTGCTTCTCTGTGAATTATGTCCTGGGCCTGCTTTAAGAACGGAAAGAAAGTAGATACCGACCTTTCGGTCCGCGTTGGTTTTTCGAAACTCGAGGAGCTAGTAATTTATAATTCAAGAGTGTGGTGAAATTTCAACGAGAAGTGGTATCGATTACTTGTGTTTGCTCTCGGTTTGAATGCAGCGCGGGTATATCGTTCAAGTAGGGTTAAAAATGAATTGGAAATTACTGGCTGGGATAATATATCGAAGAACTTTGGTATCCCTGTCAATTATCACAATTTTGTGCGTTTGTGATGTGGAATTCCAATTTTTGAAAACTTTGTATTAAAAATTAATTTTCTTTTCTTCGACATTTTTCTCCAATTCTTTCTACGATTTTCCAGAATTAGTGCTTTCGTGTTATGCTTCCTATAATTATAATTCCACCAATTTACGATACGAAATCTTACACACAGCTGAGCTTAACTTGATTTAAAAATCCACTGTTAAAACCCGATATTTGCAAGCAAAACAACTAAAACAATTAAATATCCTTCGCGATTCTGACAGAAAAATTCACGCAGAAATGTCTATCTACTTACTACGAAAGTCTTCATTGTCGCTTGTCTCGCGAGTGCAGCTTCGAGTGTGCAATCATTCGGTCCAGCTGCTGATTTTATACAACTAGGAACAATCACTTTCACTGAAATCGGCGATCGTACACGCCCTATCCGCGAGTGCTCTCCGTCCGATTTTTTTTCCCGCCAACGTTTCATCCGATCCTTCTGATCCGCGACACGACCGCAATCGTTGAAAACAGAGCGATTCCGCGTTACGCGAGACATACACACACATATGTCTATGCACTTAGGGCACGATAATTCTTCGTTTGCTTCTGATCTGCGCCTCGTACCAGTTTCTGCATCGTATCGTGTATCGTGCACGCGTAATTCTCGCATTTTTGTTACAACCGTCGTCTCTCGTGCGCGTCTCTTGCAATCAGGAAATGAATGGACGTATACATATATATATATATATATATTTTTTTTTTTTCTTTAAACCAGGTCAAAAGTTTAAACTAGTGAAGTTGGTAGTCCTAAGATCAGATGAGTGTGAATGTTTGAATGCTTTGGATGTAGTGGATGGTTAATTACCTGGTCGTGGAGTATATAACGTTTCACAAAAGTTTTACAGAGAATTACAATACTAATTTTTGTTGAAGTGATTCTTGGAGAATTTTAAGTGCGACTGACGAAGAACGTGAATAGTTCAATTATTTTGGTGACGTGTAGTCAAGACAGAGTTTTACAAAATAGTTGCAAAACGGGATAGCGAGTATATTTCTTTTGGAGGGATTTGAAATATGGTATTGTACCTTAGAAAGGAGAGACGAAATGAAAGAAATTAGATTGGAAATATCGAATTGAAAATTAAGAAATAAAAGAGAGCTGGGGAGCTAACGTTACGACACGATACTTTCATAAAAGAAGAGAATAGCAAAAATTTCCCAAGCACTATTTCCACATCTCTTTATCTCTAAAATCAATACCACATCCATTACGTTAATTGTGAGTGCCGATATACATGTACAAAAATGCATTTAATCTACGTGATTAAATACAACCAACGGTGTTCAACAAATGAACGCGATAAGTATAATTTTTCAAATGATTGCACTCGTTCACTACGAGCGATGAAATGCCTGGTAAAAGGCAATGGTAAATGTCTTTGTGGATGAAGATTGATAGTAAACGCGGCTTTATGAAAGGTAGAAATCCAGTCGTATAATCGAGATACAACGCTTTGTGCGAGGTATGGAGGGAATGACAGATGCAAAAATCGAATCTGCAACGAGCGTATCCGGCACAAAGTGACGAATCATGGTCTCGAATTCGCGAGCTAACGAACGATCTTTGTATCCCGGACTAATCGATCGGAAGATTTTATTGCATCTGAGACTGATTCGATCATTAAGGAGACTGAACCATGGAAGTTTCCAATTGTAGAGAAGTAATTTTCGTTTTTGAAATGGAAAACGTTGATAGTGCATTTTTCTTTTTTTTACAGCGAAAACTGTTTTACTATAATTACTAAAAATCGGAATGAATCTCCTAAGATTAGAATTGAAATTCCTAAATTTAAAATTCAGTTTCCTATTTTAAGTTGCTAGAATTGAAGTTAAAGTCCCTCAAATCAGAATATTCACGCTCGACTGTAATCAGTCGAAGGCGATGAAAGTCGAGCTTCGAATAATTCGAGAATTTGAGAAGAATGCGAGGCAGCACTCGATTTTCCACGGCGTTCGAAGATAAATTCAGATCTCCTTTGGGATATGGTTGCGATGAATCGCAGACGATCCGACTCACAACTATTCTTCATTCCCTCTCGAAACAGCCTCGCCGTGATCCTGTGTAAAATCTTACGAACGTAAAGATTCTCACTTTACATTCATCGCACTAAACTACATTCAAATTGCTGCAGTTCTCGCCGTTATCCAAATCCACGTTCTCCGAGATGAATTTATATTTTACAGACACACGTGGAACACGTATGCTGGCAATCGACGATTCTTTGACTATGTGTGCGATTTTATTGTACGCTTTTGCCGGGCAAAAGAAGAATCGCAGTCGCGTTTGCAACGAAGATTAATATCAACTTCACAAATTAGAGAGAATCAGCGAAGATCAGTTAGCTTTATCTGAACTTAGATTGCCTTTGACACGTTCTTGTCGCGTGATTTTCATTGTGTGTACAGTAACTCTTGATTTAAAAAGAAAAGAATCAAGTTTTGATTGACGGTGAATCAAAATCAAAGTCTTAACTAGACCGTTCTCCCTAAAGGGACAAATTCAATTTAGCAATCAAGAGAGCGAGAGAATTTTTCTGGTTTACTTATATCACTCAGTAGCGAATTTCAATCGGTTGATATGCAATCCTACTTGCGCAATTGAATCGCGTCTGGTGTTGCACAGTGTATAATGACTTCCTGTTGACACTGTGAACTCTTCGAATGGCGTGAAACTCGAAACTATGCTGAAATCGGCTACCGAACAGACGGATCGATGTTGCCTCCCCCTCCCCCCGGGTAGAAAAGAATTATTCCGCAAGATCGATATCGACGGAATCTCGATTATTCCGACGAGGAATTTGAATTCCTCGACGAAGACTAATTACTCGCCGATGCCTCTGTATTTACTGATTTACGTAACTCTTCGTTACTCTACCTCTAACGTTCTCTGTTAGGAGTTTTCCGCCGTTCGTGCAACGAGAAAGCGTTTCCATTAACACTGAGGAGTTAATTTTTTGAAATTACGAAACTAGCTCGTACGTTCATTTGTAAATCGTTTTTTTTTAAAATACGTAAAGCAAGAGAAGACAATCAAGAATACGAACGTTTGAAGGGGGGGGGGGG